ATTGACACAAGGTTGGCTGGAAAAATCCAGTCCATGAGGGCTCAGGACCATTGACATGTTGAAAGCAGGCATGAGTTCTACATCAAAAGCAGACCCACCAATGCACTAAATGTCAAAAGCAATGAATCATTGAAGAGCTAGAAACTTGGCAGGAGCTAGTGGTCACACAGAAGGAAAAATGAAGAACAGAAGAGGACTACTGAAGTTGTTTCTTAAAAATGTTAATGAAAATACAGTAAAACTGCTAATTTAACCTGAGATTTCTACCTTTGACATAAATTCCCTGTAGACCTTACCCCCTTAGGGAAAAAACTAACTAGCTCCGTGTGAAAAATGCAAAGAAACGAAGCAAAGTAGGCCAATCTAAGGTATATTTTTTCAATTTTCAGTGGACTAATAACTATTATTAACTAAGAATCTGTATAAAATAAGAACTCTAGTTGAAAGGAAGATTAAATGTGCGGTACCGCATGTTATATCATAAGGTTGGTCGCGACAATAGCAAGCAAATGACAGTGAAGAAATCTGATCGGATCCACATCTTCCACCAGAGCCCTGGCATTTCAAACAGTACTCATCGTATGCAAGATACTGTACGTTAAACTCAGTCATCAAGGCTTTACGCAAACTCATAGTTCCTGAAATGAGTTGATTAAGAGCCTCCTTTGGAACCGGAACTTCCACTTTTTCTCGACAATCCACAAGATGGGTCTCGTTATCCCGCAAGAATAACAAGTAGATCGGTTCACCATCAACAGTGCACTGAATTTTATGAGAAGCTTCTATCCTTTCCCATGAGGGGTCAGACTCAGAGCAGTAGCGAAGCAGAGTCACATTCACAACTGTTTTAGCAGTCCTAAAGAGATTGTAACTCAAGGCCGTAGGACAAGAATCTTTGCCGGAGTCCAGCCGGAAAAGGGTCATCATCTGGGGTTGGGCTGATTGATTGATTCTAAGGATTTGAAACTCACGCTCCTTGATGACTATAACAGGGTGCCGACCATCTCCATTGCATTTGAGTTTGTAACCCTCATGCCCACAGTACTGAGGTCGAGTGTCGCTCCAGAATGGAAAAGAAAGGTTTTTGAAGATTCCACAGCTAAAGGGTCGACTGCACTCTGCAAACCTTGCATCATCTTCCGCATCCACGGAAGGAATGATGGCTGCTAAGATGACAAACAGGGTAGTGATGGAGTACAGAGAGAGTGAACCCATTTGCGGAAGCTCATGAGGGAATTAGGAAAGGGAGAAATGAAACTGAATGGATTGATTTATTTAGTATGAGTAGGATTCAGATTGATTTCAGATTGATTTTCATGGAAACTGCGGAAAAAATCTTTTTTGACAGAGAAAGTTCTGACTATTGGAATTTTCTAAGAGAGAAACGAGAATGATAGTGACCTTGACCTTGACTTCAGAAAATCAAGGAAGTGAGGGCGGCTAATGGAAGTAAAAAATCCCAAATCCCAATCGGTTCTATAAAAAACGATGATTCATAATTTTAAATCCAAGGAGCAGGCAGGAACCTTGAAAGAGAATGAATGTCCTAACTACAAAAAAGCTCCTCAGTATAAGGTGGGATACTGCCTCAATCTAAACCATAAAAACTTGATACAATATTAAAAGTTTTACCCTATATATTTGTCAGAGATTATCTGTGTTGTCCCATAAAATTTTGCATATTATGTTACAAATTTCACGTTGATACTCATTATTTAAAAGGAAAAATATTTTGTTTAACCAAATTAACACATATAATTTAGTTTTATGGAATGGGTTATGAAAAATAGTTGAGAGATATTTTTTTTATAATTTTTTCTTATAATTTTATACATTATTTAATGATTATTTTTTATTTTAAAAATATAAATAATATTATATATTTATTTATTTAAATATGTAAAAATTGTATAAAAAAATTATTTAGAAAAATTTTCTCCCTTGTTCAAAGGGTTCAAACTTGAAGCTAATCATGGATTCAAAAATTTGGTAAGGATGACATAATTCACTGGATTTCTGATGTCATTAACGGGGTTTAGGATATTGGAGGGTCGTGAAATCAAACCCAAGAGAACACGTCATTCGGGTTTGAATGATTTTAAGATTTTTTCCTGTTTATGGACCTACCACAAGAGTCGAGGGTTCAATTTTTTCGATTTTGAAGTCAAGAGTTTTTCTGTTTCTTTTGATTTAGAATCGAGAGACACGCAATCAAGATTTGGAACACTAACACCAAGGTACACAACTTATAAATATTCGATAGATCTCAGAGATTTGTGTGAAAGCATGCTTTTGGTTTCAAAGTAAGTCTGCTAAATTTAGTGGTTTTGGATGGCGCTTAGTTTTTGTTGGGCTACGTGTTTTTGATATGGGATTGCTATCCTTGTATCTTTGATTTTGGTGAATTCAGGCAGGACTAGAGTTTCTTTTGGTCATGCACATCAAGTGCTCGATCAAATACCTGTGTGGGGTTTTTGGATTTTGATGACATACGGGGTTGTGACAGGGTTCTACAATGCAAGTACGGGGTGTTCTGTGAGGGGTGAGATCTCACATGCATTACAACTGGAGGATCTTTAGTGTTGTATCAAAATTCAGATTTTGTTAGCAAGGACAGCAATAAAGAAGTAAGGAGCAGCATCAGGAACAGGAGTCTATGGGTGCATTTGATGCAGCTGCCCCGGTGTATTTGATGCAAACTGATTCAGTTTTTTTATATTATTTATATTATATAAGTTTAAATTTTTTTCTTAAAAATTTATATTTATAATTTTTTTTAATTTTAAAAAGATTTTAAACAGTAAAAAATCATAAGTTTCAAATTCAAATTTTTCATAAACTTCTTTTTTATTCACTTTTTATTTACTTTTTTTTATATATAAAAGTAACTTTAAAATTTTTCTTCCAATGAAAATTTAAATTTATTACTTATGAACAGTACAAAAAAAAAAAAAACAAAAACTCCAACAAGCTGCACCAAAAAGGCCTTATGTAAGATTAAGGGTGTGTTTGATGCAGCTTCGTAAATGCTCAACTTTTTTATACTATTCATGTTTCATAGGTTTAAATTTTCCTTTTAAAAACTTACTTTTTAAAACCTTTTTTA